GATTGTATCACAGCTTTGCCCGTGAGGCTGAAGGGATTAGCCACCCATAGTAGGAGTGAATTGCTGAGCAATCCTGCGGGGCAGGGGTCTTTTTCTTTTTGCTACCTATCCTACCCATCTGACATCTGTAACGGGCTCACAATCAATATTCATCTTTATAAAAAAAAGCCTCCTCCAGCAGTTTCATGTGGCTGTGAAAGGCAAAAGAGGGCACTCAAAGGTCCGTATATCATTAAGGAGGACTGACGCTCTCCTGCCAAGGCCGACACTGCTGACCTTTTGTAGAATCCCTTCTCGGGCTTCCCAACAGCTTCAACTATTGGGGGGCAGGGCTTGTCACTTGCTGCCCTCATGGCAGGACAGCTCAGGAAGTCACTGAACCCGTGAAAATCCCTTTGCCTTGCACAAACCTTCTTCCTCTCTTTACCAGCTTGTTGACTCTCAGGATTCAACTGTTTCCCCCTTTATAGGCAGTTTGTTCTCCGAATCAAATTGTTGCAAAACCAACAACAACACCCACCCCTGTTTTTAACTGCATTATAAGCTACTTTAGGTCTGGTTCCTGGAGAAAGGGGGGGCATATAAAATAAATAATAAAAGCATGGTCCCAGGCAAAGTTCGGCAGTGGCAAGCTGAGCAGCAAAGTTATCCTGTGCGTTTACTTGCCCGATGCCGTAAGTTGGGTGAACTAACAGCACCCTAAGTTGGCAGGTGGCAGTCCACACAGATGTTTCCTTAGGGGACTGTACACAGTTTTGTAGGATTGGGGTGGAGGAAGCCATCCCACAGGCCCTTAGGTACCAATGGTATGAGCCTGACCCCGTTGACTTGGCCATTTAGTCTGGCAGGCACCTTGCTTTGACTTGGTTTGCCTGGTGATGTGCAGCCTGCTCTGTTACTCCAAGCTCAGTTTTTTCTCATTATCCATATAAAGTCATTATATGGACGAAGGGATTACCCAGCGCTAGGCTCCCCCATGCACGAAATCAACTCACACAGACTAGGTTCGAGGGCCCAGTTTGCTTGACACTAATTGCTGGCTGCACTGAATTGCATGGGGTAAATCTGGTGTCTTCAGAAGAGTTTTGAAAGATTGTAACTGCTTACTGGCTGTTCCTTTTAATAAAATACATATACAATTAGAATAACAATGTTTCAGTACTGAAATTTGAGTAAACATACACAAGCAAAAAAAAGATACTCATTTAAAACTGTTAGAAAGTAGTTTAAAACACATCAAAGAACAGTGATTATTCTCCCCTCCCCCTTTCTGGAGTCATTTCACTCATTTCTCACCCAGGCATTCAGTTTCCAACTTTAAAAAGGGAGATGCTTGCTTGCTTGCTTGCTTGCCGGAGATCCGTAGGGAAAGGGGCAACCTAGCCTTGCTCAGGACAGGGGTGTTCTGTAGCCTAAAAACAGCCACCAACAGGCCTTTTCTCATACCCTCACCAGACCTGAAGGTCTTAAAAGCTAGGAAGGATTATATGGAAAAATCTGGTCCTGCAAGCAGCCTGGACTGAAGCTGTTCAGGACCTTTGTAGGTCATCACCAGCAGTCTAACTTTGGTCCCGGAAATGTTTACATTTAAGGTCTGTATCAATTTAGTGCATGTTTACCTCTGAGTGTAACCGGTACTTCTTTTGGGAGTCAGGTACAGGCTAGGCAAGGGATCCAGAACTGAGTCAAGCTCAAGTTCATTGTGTCCAGATCCCAAAATTAAAACTGCCAAGAGAGGCTTATCTGTTTTTGTTCTTTTGTTTTAAAAAAAATGGCTTGGAAGTGTCCTTTTTTTAAAAAAAAATGGCTTGGAAGTGTCAAACTACAGGATCTCTTGACAAACTGATCAGCCTCTGATCACCATTCAAATGAGAACCTACGTAGACTTTAAAAATTGGAAAGAGCTTCATCTAAAAAGAACTCTGCTGGCAGATGAAGGAGCAAAGGTGGTCCTCCAGTCAGTGAAACCAATGGAGTAGCTTCTCTTCTCTCCCCCCCACCTCTGCTGCAGTGCATAGGGTAGCCATGGGTGTGTCCTTCTCAAGCCTCTTTCTACTACAGTTCCAGATAAGCAAGTCAAGCTGTCAGATGGACCTTGAAGTTGTCTGCTCTCTGCGCTTCCTGATCTTGGCTCTTTCCTTCTGGGACTGCGGAGCAGCCTTCCAAAAGTGCTTTCGAACCGAGCAGACTCAGCCATCCTTAGGCGTAGGTGAGAAGGACCTTGATCTTGGCAAGCCGAAAGGGTCAGGGAAGAAGCTGCAGCACAGCAAGGAAAGGAACTGCCAGAAGAATCTGGAGCAGAGTTTTGGAAGGATTCCTTCTCTTCTTGGCAAAGATTTTCCCTCTCCTCTCTTTCTGGGAAAGCTACAGGCCTGATGGGGTAGAACTGACAGGTGCGTTAGTCCGTTTCCCTGCCCTTCCCCTGCAAAGCTGTTTCTCCTGTGCAGTCTGCTTTTGCACCTTTCTCCCAGCTCTGCTGGTCCCCTAGAACTTAGCTGGAGCTGCTGAAAAGCCTTGGCGATGTTTGATTCCCCCTTGCCCCGAAAAGGTTTCTCTTTCTAAATAACCCTGTCTCTATGCCATCTATGTATTTTGCAGGCAGCTTTTAAAGAGCAGAAATATACGTTTTGTGAAGTGTGCAAGTGAATCAGTAAAGGCACAGTGTATTTTTAAATCTTTCACTTCCCTTCGCCGTCTGGTGTCAGCTTCCCTTCCTGTACATCTCTACCTTTGCAGCCTTCCTCTATTCCCCAAGCACATTTGCAACTGGTTTCTCTCTCACACACACATTGACTCCCCCTTCCCCTTTTTACAGTCGAAAGGAAGAAAAAGTCTGAGGCTGTTTCCTTTTCTCCCTCCCTGAGACCTGATTAGAGTTAAGAAACAAGCAAGAAGAAAAGAACTGGATTGTGAAGGGGAACAGTTGCAGGGGGGAAAGGAAAAATATATGGAATCGGCTTCCTTGGAATCGGGGCAAGGAGAAACACTCTTACTTTGCCAGTAGGTTTTAGACCTTTGGAGACATTGCTGTGGCTTCTTTCCTTGGAATCGGGGCAAGGAGAAACACTTTGCCAAAGTAAAAAAGCCAGTAGGTTTTAGACCTTTGGAGACTTTGTTGTGGCTTCCGATATGCCTTTGAGAAGAAAACAGTGTTTGCATCCTGTCCTCTTGAGTTCCACTGGAAACGTCACTTATTCCTCCAGTATTGCTTAAAAGTTACAAGTTTGGGCAAAAACACCAGGCACATTCCCTTCAAATATATTGGATGTTCTCCTCTGAGAGCAGTTCAAAAAAGTACTCAAATGTTGACATTGGTACCTGAAAATCTGAGGTACTAGATCTTTTTTCAAACCACCACAACACCACAGACGTGTTTTCCAAGCTTTGGGGCTGCTTACCCACCTCCCTTTTACCACTTCTTCCAGACACATTGCAGTTTACTCCATGAAGGGTCTTGATCCCGCAGCAGTACCAGCAGCATTCTTTCAAAATAGTCATCTTGTCTGCAAACCATTTCTGGACGCCCATAGTCCTCAGCAATAACCATCCGTTCTCTTTCCTTACACCCTCTGTGCAAAGTTTAAGGGTGCAGATACGAGGCTTCAGAAGACCACCAGCTGCTTGATGGTTCTTTTGTGGTGCTGATGTCACCTGTCCTGCCTACCTGAAATCCACTCTGGCATCCTTGAAGTGTGTGAAGGCCATGTAAAAATAAATGACGGTGTCCAAAGTCTATATGTCTTTGCGGTCATGGAAACTGGCGCTAGAATTCCTATGAGGGCAGTGGGCAGTAAGGGAGGAAAGGTTGGGGGAAAGGAAACATAGCTCTCCAGGCAGAGCCTGCAGGAGGGAACTTCCATGGGATTTAAACATGCCGTTGTGCAGCGACAGCTCGTGCCTGGCAAAGTAAGGGATGCCAGACGTGGAGTGAGGCAGGCAAAAGATTGGTTTCCTTTGGGACTTAGTGAGCTTAGTGTGTTCTGCTCCAGAGCCCCCTGGGGGCATGGCGTTGGAGTAATGGCCGCCGGATTGCCAGTAATGAGAGGCGAAGGTTGCCAAGTGATCTAGGGACCCTCAATCCGATCCAACATGATGCAGAAAATGTGTTCAGGGAGTCGAGTGTCAGCCAGCTGTCCTATGCCAGCTCTGTTTGCATTTGTTGTTGGAACTAAAGCAGCGTCCTGTGCTTGGGCTGCCTTGATGGGGTTATTTCGTGGAGCACCGCATTTGCACTGTTCAGGGGTGGGAGTGGGGGGGTGCCTAAATCCAGGCAGGGCGGCTGCCCCCGTCCGGCTCCGAACTCCTCGAGGCGTGCGCTCCCCGTGCTGCCGTAGCTCCGCAGAGCAGGCTCGTCCTTGGTGCCTGTCTGTGTACCCGGTTGCTAAGGAGTGTTAAAACAGAGAGGAGCTCCCAGTGACGCAGACGGCGCTGGGGCCGGATGAGCGGGCTGAGGCCAAGTGGAATTTCTCAGACTGAAGTTCTCGAGCCCTGCAAAGGGGCCCTGTTTCAGGCAGAAGAGGAGGCCAAGCCGACTTCATTCCCACTGTCTGGCTTACCGCTTACAAAGGGGGTCTGGCATGTAAGGGCAGAGCATAGAGCGTTCCTCTCAAAAAGGAACTCCTCGTTTCTTCAGACAGCTGCAGGGCAGACTCGAAAGAGAAAGGGCACCATCAGCAGAAGGGACTCTTCGTTTCGTTTAAGTAGAGAGCAGAGCTGTGCGTTTGCAGGGGCCACCGCAGCACACGAGGCAGGAGGAGCGGGCGGGGGGGAGGAGTCATGATCCTGGTAAGGGTTAGAAGACCTTGCGCTGGTCAAGACCTCTCCTGTGTGATGACCCCTAAACTAGAGGCCAAAATGTTACGCTGCATTAAAAACTGAGCGCTGCCCAGAGAGGCTTCTTAGAAATCCCTTTAACTGCTTCGAGCTCATCCTTTTATCATTAATCTAAAAAGGGTCTATAAAAGATGATCATACGAGGAAATTTGCAGGCCACGAAGAAAAGAGGAGGACCGAACATGAGGGGGAATGGGTCAGTAAGGGATCCAGAGCTTTTATGTAGTTTGTAAGACCAGGGGCTGCTATTGATGGGAAGTGTGGGAGATCTCCTCTGGACAGGATCACTATACCTTCAGACCTGTTTGACAGCACAAGAACAACAACATGTCTCTCTCTGTCTGTCTGTGTGTATGTATCAGTGATACATAAACTGCCAACTTCAGTGCTTTTAAAGAAAACTTAATTAAAATGATCCGTAGTTCTATAATGCATGTAACCGTATGTATTATAGAACAGCGTTTAGTTCCTGAGCCTTCATAGGCTATTCAGAATTTTGCAAAGTCAAGCTGATGCCCTTTTCGCCTTGCTGATTCAGGGTGAGGTGGGAAGCGGACCCAGAGCGGAGAGGCAGGGAAAGTTCTAGGCACACACAGACACACCCCTTGGGGCAGGGGTCAGAATTCGGGCGTCAGCATCCCTAGCTAGCTGGTGCTTCGTCGTGGTGCCCACAGATGGCGGGTCAGAGCCCGTCCTCCCCCTCCTTAACACAATGGTGTTGTCATTTTAGGCAACAGACCTTATGTTTTCTAAACCTGCTGTTGGTCATAGACGGGTCGCGATTGCCGGAGGGAGAGCTAGGGAGCCTTTTGGTCTTTGCTTCTGGGCAAAACAGCAGTGTTTTTTCCACGGCTTTTCTCCCCCACCCTAGCCTGGCAGCAAGTCCAGCCATTGTATTGCAGGCAGTGAGCAGGATGTAGGGAGAGGGAAGGCAGCCGCCCGGGACGCTCACTTTCTCAGAGCCCTGAAACCTTGCGGAGCCGAGGCTGCATAACCGAGCGCTTCATCTGCTGCAGAAATCTCAGGGGTGGAAATCTGTGGCCTGGAATGTGGCTTTGCCTGTGCCCTGTTTTGTCCCCTTTAAGCCCTTCCTCGAGATCCCTTGCGGTGCGCGCCAGAAGTCTCTGCTTCCAGCCTGAAGGTGGAACTGAGTCACCCGTGCTCTCATTAAGTCCATGCCCTTTTCTCATGTGTGTCCGCTTCAAGTTGTTCTTTCTACTTCCTTGTTGACCCTTGCCAAGTGTTTGTTTCCACCCTCCTCCTGCTTTGGAGCCTTGTGCCTGTTAGATGGTCTCCAGCCGCCCTGGGGCTGGTCGAAGGAGGAGTTCCTTCTGACTAAAAACCTGTTTTTCCTGGCATTCTGATTTTTTTCCCTATCAGAATGGACTTCCAAACCTGGAGGCCCCCATCACGCCCTCAGTAATCTTTCTTACTGAGAGTATGTTATTTACAGGATTAGTCATCCAGAGAAAATGGATGGTTGCCCAAATATTTCACAGCTGGCACTTAGGTATCTATACCGGTTTTCCAATCCATAAGAGTCTTCCAGGTGCCACCTGTTTTTGTTGTATTTCCTTTTGTTTTGTTTCTTAGGATTTTGCCGGATAGGCCCATCTTGTGTTCTTAGTGTCCATGCTGGGTTGCGTTAAAAGGCTGGGAATGCCTGACTCTTTGGAGAGACCGTTGCCTTTCGAAGGAGCTCATCGTGAGCTAATTGGGGCGATGCTCCCGCTCTCAGCGGTGCATACATACATACCATACCTTAGCCTGCTTCCGGCAGCTCCCTCTCCCTTCCTTCTCCAGATGCTTACTAGCATTGTGCGCGTCTGCTAGCTCAGCAGCGGGTCTCTTTGGTAATTGTGCAAGCAGCTGAACCCTTCTGAGGAAAGCCAAGTCACATTTTTCGGAAGGGCTCCAGGACATGCAGAGGATTCCTCTTCCTCCCTGGCCCTGATGTTGTGAAGGGCGGCCGTGCCCCCTTGCCTCTGTTCTGTGCTTAATTGTTAGAAAATATGTCAGGAACTTCTTTGGCTTGAACCATCTTATCTGCTTCCCAAATCTATCCTATGGCAGACCCCCGAGTGGTGCAGGAATGGAGGGATTCGTGTGGCTTTGGCTAGTCTTACTATGGAGGAAAGAGACGTAATCCTGTTTTTCCACTGCGGCAAAACCACTCTAGAAAAATGTTTACTTAAATCGGCCCCTTTTGGTTTCAGTGAGGCTTATCTCAATCAGTGTTTTTGGGGTTGTGCCCTCGATTGCAGCCTTCGTTATGCTTCCTACAGATTAGGTAAACTCCTTTGAGTTCAATGAGACCTCCAAGGAAGAAGATTTAGGACTGCAGTATTGGCTTGTGGAGGGTTTGCAACAAATGCTTGGGGCATGGAAGGACCCACAAGATAATGAGTTTAACAGGCTAAACAACAGAAAGTGACCCCTGGAACCTTTTTCTGGAGCTGTAGTGATTATTTGCACACCTGGATGTCTCTGAGACTGGAAGTGGCCAGAATCTCTTGCGTGAATTCAGGAGCCTGCTGTGCTACAGACATTTTAGCCTCTTTTCTCTTGACGGGCTTTGCAGATTATTGGAACCATGCAAAATGTCTTGAGGAGAAGCCACCGTGGGGGGTAAGAGAAATGCATTTCCTACAGCAGTCACTCCTCTTTCAAACCACCTTCGCCTCTTGAAAAACAGAACCTCCCTCGGTCTAGGAAAGGCTGTGTGTGTCACTTCTGGAAGTCTTTAAACCTTGGAAAGGGATTGGAGGCATAGGGCCCACTTTTGACAGATCATTCCTTCATCGGATGGAGATGTATGGAGGAGAGCATGGGAGTCTGAGACTCCCTCCCTCCAGTGTGAGTGTGGGGGGCTGTGAGGGGCATTGGTGTCATGTTGATGGGGTATATGTGGTATGTTCCATAGTGGCTTATCATTGTCTCAGTGCACTGCACAGCAGTGGCCCCAGGGGGCATTAGAATCAATTTGCATTTGTCCAGCCCCAGTGTGGTCAGCTGTGGTCAGCGTATGAAGAAATGCAGCTGCACCCCGTGATGTACAGGAGGGTTGGCCTCCCTGCTGACCTTTGCGTAGGGTTTGAATGTGGATGCTAGATGGAAGCCTACAGCCTGCAAGGCGTACCGCCATGAAGTTGCAGAAGGATAGAAGAAAAGGCTGCTCAGACTACGTGGAAGGGCTGGCTGCTTTTTTTTGGTTTGTTTTTTAAAAGGCATTCATCTCTCAGTAGGAGGGGTGTTATGGATGGAACCAAAAAGGAATAGAATCCAGTTCATGGGGTTCTGTGAAATCTGCCAATTCCCAGAGAAGTTATGGAGCCTGTAAACAAACAACACTGGCTGGCAGCCATCTGGTCAGCTTGTGGGGGCGGCGGGGGGCGGGGAGAAAATGCTTTTCAAAGCCTGATGCCAAAGGTTTTTCTCAGGCCAGGTAGCCTTTCCAAAAATCATCATAAGAGGAGAGAGTTTTTCTGCTGTGCAATGTTCTGGCCAGGTGCAACCAGTGCTTCTTCGCTGGGTTTCTGTCCTTGTATGGAATCCTTCTAAAAGGGTCCACCTCTCCCAAACATCTCTATTTGTTTCTATTTTTATTTATGGCAACTTTATTCTACTTTTTCTTCCAAAGGGATCATATTCTTTCAAAATCTTTGCATCAGCTCTGTGGGGTAGGCTACAGTGAGAGGAAATGCCTGGTGCAAGCTTAGGTTGTTGACTTTACCGATGAATAGAGACTTGAACTCGGGTCTCCCTGAGCCTAGTCTGGCTGCCTACGCTTCCATGCTGGCTCTCCAATGCCATGAGCTGGCCTGTGTGTTAATTTTTTTAAGGGAATCTACTTCCAGGACATTGTGATCCCCAGCCTATCTTTCAATGTCACTGACGGCATGAATGTTGTCCATCATTACCAGAGTTGCTTCCTCCATCTCTGTTCACACATGCACACAAACGTACATCTGCCCACATGCATACAAAGGACACCAATTAATGGTCACAATCATGGTGCATAAGTCACAGCTGCAGAAAGATGATGACCAGTAAGGACAGATTTTTGGTAATTAAGACTTCTTCCTTTAGTCCTGTGGCTCGTCTGACTCAGGAGTATACATTTCTTTGCCTAGATGCCATGGGATAGGAAGAACATGTCTTTAATTACCAAAAAATCTCCCCCAGCTGGTTATGTCATCACTATTCTGCAGGCATGCAATAGGACTTGGGCCAGCTGATTGATTAGATTTATACCCTATCCTGTATCATGAACTCTCAGGGTGGGATAGAATAAATTAGAAACGTTTTTTAAAAAGACAATTTGAGCATTTGAAAAGGTGTCTATCACTTGCATTGCTGTGGAAACAATAAACACACACCATAGACGAAATATGGTGCTGTAAATAGTTTTGAGGAGCTGGTAGTCCTAGATTTTATTTTTGTTTTTGTTTTTTAATTGTGCTAGCCTGTTTTAATTTATGTGCATACGGTTTCAGTGCCTTTCTTTTTCCTTCCAACAGAGCTGAGAAAACAGAAGTCCTCAGTGATGATCTGCTTCAGGTACTTTAAATTCATGGATTAATTCATGGCTTTTGTCTTGATTCCTGAACTGACCCTGCCTTTGGGGAATTTAGTGGCTCCTGTTTGTCACATGGCAGTTAGAAAACCTGCAGGATGGTTAGAGGCAGTGGAGGAGAGAATCCACAAGGTCACAAACACCAGCTGAGAAGCTCACAAGGGCAGTGCGGTTGAAAGCAAAAGAAGCCCCAAGAAATGACAGTGGGCCTCTGCTTATGGGAGAGGGAAAAAAACCTATTTGAAGGCTGGTCTCTTTCGCTCCATAAGACGCACAGACTTTCCACCCCCCTGTTTTGTGGGAAAAAAGTGTGTCTTATGGTGCGAAAAATACGGTATTTGAAGGCTGGTCTCCGGCCATTTCCCAAGAAACAGGCCTGCAAATGGGGCAGGCAGACTGAAGGTTCTTGGCCGGACTCCACTGCAACACTGGGATTTTCATAGGTGTCGACTTGTCATTCAGCACTTGATCAATTGGGTCTGTTCCAGCTGGATCTAGCAGTTGGATTTAGGCCTGTGTGTTTTCCTGAACTTCTCTTGACTAACCAAGAGGGAGGAAAAAGGGGGCAAGTCTCCCACAAACCCCAAGTTTGTTTGCTGAGCCTGGTTGTGAACGGAGGTCCTTCTGAGGGTGAAGCGCAGGGGGCAAGTCTCCCACAAACCCCAAGTTTGCTTGCTGAGCCTGGTTGTGAACAGAGGTCCTTTGTGCCCAGTTGTCTTTTGAAAAGATGCTGATCAGAAATGCCTAAAAGTGCCTTTGAGGAAGGAGCAAAAGTATATTTAAATCTTTATAGGAAGCAGCTGGAGGCTTCCCATTCACATTTCCTGCCTCTGCTGCTATTCCACTCTTTTCCTCTCCAACCTGTGGCCATGGAGGCTTTGTTAGGCATTGTCTGCATGGTCTGAAGGTTATCCTCTTGCAGGTTATCCTTAAAGCATTGGTTCTTAACCTTGAGTTATTCAGGAGTATTGGACTGCAACTCCCAGAAGCCTTCACCACCAGCTGTGCTGAATGGGGTTTCTGGGAGTTGCAGTTCAAAAGCATCTGAGTAACAATGGTTAAGAACCACTGCTTAAAGGATACAGACGTGAAGAAACCACCGAATCAGCCAAGGGACATCCCATGTCCCGGAAATAGGATTGTACAAGGGAAGGGCTCAAGGCTGCTTTCCGGCTACAGGTTTTCTGTTCGTCTGAATCTGAGAAAGGTTTCTCCATCATCTTTGTTTGCCTTCCCTGCAGTCTGGCTCTGCTAGATTGACGGAGGGCTGGGGGGGGTTCGTCTCAGCCATTTTTGCAAAGGTGTATATCCGGCCCGCATCCCCCTCCCTCCCCCCTGAGGAGCAAGGAAAGGCAGTCATTGTCTTGGAGGTTTCAGGAAGTCCGCCCCCCCCGTCTGTCACTCATAAAATCAATTTGTCTGGGCATCCTATAAAATCCGTAATGTGGGTGATTCCCACGACACTCAGGGGAATGGAAGAAAAGCAGGCTTTTTTTTTTCTTTTCAGCAGTCAGGAAGTAAGTAAAAGTGGGTGTTTTTTTTGCCATGTATGGGTTGTACTGCTGTATGTATAAAGAATTTAATTTTGTGCATTTTGGGCTTATTTGGAAAAATGAACAGAGAGGACAAATCAAGGAAGCTGTATAAAAGAGGCACACCTCCCCCCCTGTGACTTTACCTCTGTAGCTAGACTTGGCTTTCTAGACCTGAGATGTGGAAGTGTGCTTAGTAGGTAAGAGAGTTTAAAGCTCACCCACCCACCCCCAGTCTGCTTTTCTATGCTAGCTTTCCTCCATGTGTCTAAAGGGGGTTTCTGGTCTCTCCGAATCAGCCGGGTGGGGGGAAATAAGCTGATTTGGCAGCTGTCCTGCGTAAATATCTGCAGCAAGAAGCTCTCCTTGCCAAAAGCGTTGCTTGGGCTGTCCGATGTCGTTGCCTGGGTAACTGCATGAAATATTTGGAGTGGGGATGGAGGGAAGCCAGAAAGGCTCCTGCCCAGCTGTTGGCCAACCATTTCTGCCATCATGGCTTTCCCAGGCGCAGATATTTCAGCCTGCCCTGCCCAGATGGAACCGCTTACTCATTGGCCTGCTTAGCTTTGCCGCTGAGCAGAATCTGTCCCTAAGGGATCGTGTGTACGTTTCCTCTGGTGAAGCTCCGTGTGTTTCAGCAGATGACACAAGCCTTTCTGTCCTTGAGTCATGCTCCTCTCGGCTTTCCTTTCCAAAGATGCTGAGGTGCCACTCTGACAGAAAGTTGCATTCTGGGCGATGCTCGGGATGCAGTTAAATGCCAGGCTGCTTAACAAGGTGTTCCAGCGGGCTGCAGAAGAGCAGCCTTGGGCTCAGCACACAGACTCCTGTTTGGTGATCCAGAAAGGACCGCCTTACAAGGAGCTTGCGGGACTGAGAGACAGCACAAGAATTGACTGCCTCGTGGCGTACAAGGCTGCGTGTTTTCCTGCCTATAGACTTACGGAGCAGTGGGGCAGAAGTACAGCAGATGGACACCTTTGTATAAACGTGCAACGGAGCTCAAGAAAAGAAAAGGATCATGCAGCCGTGGGGAGAGGCAGTAAAGATTTTAGCAGCAAACATCATGCTCCTTGATGGAACGGCCAGAAAAGCCTTCCTCGGAACAGCCAGTCCACAACCAGGGGGCTGCTGTAGAATAGTCTCAGGGACTGCTAGACCTGCATCTCAAAAAGAAATAAAGCACCCTAGAACAACCCCCCCCAAACAAAAAAATCCACACCCCAATTCAAGATGCTAAACACGAGCCAATTCTGTGCCGGTTGATGCCAGGGGTTCACAGCCACAGTTTTTACTGATACAGTTGTTTTGGTATTTATGTTACTTTTTCCATGGGCTGTTGATGTTTTGATTCACCCAAGGAAACAGGGATGGTTTGTTATAGCCAAAGAGCTGCAGCTGCACCCGAGTGGCACAGTTCAGACCGTCAGAGCTGTCCTTTGTTATAGCCAAAGAGCTGCAGCTGCACGCGGGTGGCACCGTTCAGACCGTCAGAGCTGTCCTAACGGGGTGTGTGTGTGGACACTCAGCCCCCTCCCTCTCAGGTTTTCGTTGTTTTTATACGAGTCAACATTTCTTTTAAATGTGGAGAGGTTTCTAAATGTAGCTGGCTGGGTAGCTAGTTGGGAGTTCAATTCCCCACCGTGCATCCCCAGAGAAGAGCCAGCCTAGGGGGCCTTGGGCCAGCTGCACAGTCCCAGGGTGACCCCAGAAGAAGGGAAAGGGAAAGCACTTCTGAGGTTTTTTTTACCTAAACAATTTTGAAAAGGGTTGCCATAGAATTGTCTTGATGGCATAAGGTGATTTTTGTCATCATTATAAATGTACCCACACAATAAAAGGGTCCTGCATTTAATCTCAGTGTCCCTGGATGCATTCCACCCTAAAGTGTGAAATATCACTTTGATTGCCTTATGGGGGAGGTGTAAGCTTTTTTAATGCAAGAATTTAGAAGTTCCTCCTTCCTTTATTTCCACCACCCCTTTTAAATCTTTATTTGAGATCTGTGTTTCTCACGGTTACTTACAGCACCAAGGCATCTCTGACAACCTGTTACCATATCATTAAAAGTGGAACCACACCTGTAGAAACCCTTCGTTTGCATCTAGGACAGGTAGCGGTGATGGAGGCCAGGGCGCCGGTTTAGACCACCTCATAAATGTAGAAATAAATGTTAGCTTGAGTTAAAGCCAAATATACACATGTCAACAAAGCACATTTGAGGGGTAAGTGTGTCTTCAAAGCCCCTTTGATGGTGGGAGCCCAGCGTCCTCGTTTTGGAGGGAGCAAAGGCTAGAGACCCAGATTCTCTGCTGCCCGTCCGAAGCTTCTCGTGACCCTGGGGGTGAGCCTGGAGGATGGGTGCCCCAAAAGGGAGTCGAAACTCGCTCCGTCTGGATAGCGTCTTTCCCTGCTGGATAGCTCGGTGGTTTTAGGCATCTGGCTGGGGAGCCAGGGGTCCGGAGTTTGATTCCCCCTTGATGCCTCCTGGGGTCCCTTCCAGCTCTGCACTTCCGAGACTCTTGTTTTGTGGCTTTGTGCCTCCAGCAGATCGTGTGTGCCACCGAAAAATGTCCCCTGCTGTCCTTTGGAAGTTAGGTGGTTGGGTCAAAGAATGAGCCTGCCTTTTCCAGACCGAAGGGCAAGGGCTGCTTCCTGTGAGGCGACCCAACATGTTCTCCGTGGTGGGATGTTGTTTGTGTAAATCCCAAGGCACCTTTTGGGCAGAAAAAGGGCAGTCGGGGCCAGAAAGGAAGTTTGGCTCCTCTTTCAGCCTTCCGAGGAAAAGCCGCCTGCCCCCCAGCCTTCTCACCGGCCAGGTGAAGGGGACTCACTCAGCTGGAGGCAGGGTCTGGAAGGTCCTGTTTGACCTGAGCCGCCTGCCGGAGGGCTCCGCCATGCTCAGAAGAAGCGCGGCATCCCTCGCTGGTCCCCCTGGGAGGATACTCAGGGCCAAACCGGTCTTAAGATACGTGGCTTGGTTTGGACGCGACTTTGTTTCGCAGGGTGGTTGTGGTGCTTGGTGTGTTCCAAAGAGATTTTCTTGAAATGCCAAGTGTCTCAAGTTTAAAGAAGGCCCTTGCTCTGGCGTACTGGGTGTGAATGCTGGAGCGTGCTCTTCTAGAACTGGTTGGGTTTAGAAAATGAAGGCCTCCAGTTTCACCCGGAGTCTAGTTCTGTCCACTAGTAAAGTCCGAACCCATTCCACTTGATGACGATTCCTTGCATGACGGAACAGCAGCCGCTTCCATCAGGGGCAGTTTTGTAATTACAGATGTGCATCAGGCCTCAGGAAGCGGGCAGGTCTTTGAGTCAGACTTGGGTTTGACAGAGGAAAGAACAAGACTATGCATAGCCTTGGAATGCTTGGTGCTTTAAAACAAAACCAAAAAAACACCCCAAACCCAGGGACAGCATTTTAAAACATTCCAGAGAGTTTGTATCTATTTACATGCCTCCTGAAGTTGAAACTTGTTATGCCCTTTTGGCTGCTTTTGTTCAAACAGAAACCATTCCAGAAGGCCTCCTTTTAACCTTTGTGACTCATCAAAGCACAGATAAACCACATTCCTGGGCCTGCGTCTGTGGAGGTTCCCAGCGGAACTTGGCAGGCCTCTCTCCACTCTTCCAGACACTGGAAGCAGGATGCATATTTGAACCAAGACCCCTGCTGTTGCTCCTCAAATGTACTTTGTGAGCATCTGCCCTTCCCCAGTGGCTTGGGGTGCTTCCAGAGGAGGGGAGGGAGAGTGTGTGTCTGTGCTGCCTCCCTGCTTCGTTTGGATTCCTTTTCTTTAGCAAAAGCTGTCCACGAAGGAGATGGAAAGATGAAAACTCCCGAGTGATGGGGAGGGCATCATCTCTCTGGAATCGCACACAATTTTTCTTAGCACAGTCCCAAACCTGCAACAAACCGCACAATTCAGACTGCTGTTTGCACAGCAAGGCGTCTGCATTTAAATATGTTTACTTGGCTTTCTTCTGTAGGTTCAAGGCAACTACTGGTCACTCACCCAAGTCAGACGGTCTTGTCAGACAGGACTTCCCGGGGATTTGACCTGGAAGGAAACCTTGGGTGGGTGGGGTCAGTGCCAGGAGTGATTTGCTACAGCGCGGAAGGAAGAGGACTTACAGTCATCGTATGCCTAACCTTTCTCTCTCCTCCTTCTCCTGGTCTCTGGCTAGATTGAACGGCGCCTGGACACGGTGCGCTCCGTCTGCCATAATTCCTGCAAGCGGCTTGTGGCCTGTTTGCACGGGCAGTATGGAACCGATACAGAGAAAAGACACGTGAGTATTGGAGCCTTGAGGTCAGCGTGAAAGCTGCCCCTGTCCCACGGAGCCGCTCGTTCTCTTCCAAACAGCCTGGAGCGTCTTCAGAAAGGTTGGCCAACAGAGCTGCGGGTCCCCCTGCCATCGTAAAGCCTGCCTGGCCCACATGGACAAGTCCTGTAGGCGCTCCCTGGCCCCCCTGCCAGCAGTGTGCCCGATACCCTCGTGCGCCTGTCCCGCCATGTAGGGTTCGGTCGTAACCCTGGTTGCAGTGCTGTGGGTATAATTGTCCCTAGATCATAATAACCCTTTGGATGGTTGTAGGCAAAACCGTTTCTGATAGGGTGCTGGGGGGTGCTGGGGGTAGTTCAGAGGGCACCCTGTGCCTTGGGGCTCTGAACCCCCCAAGCTCAGACACCCAAGCCCTTCCTTGAGACGGCATGCCTGGTTTCCTTCCATGGACATCTGGCCGTCTCTGGAGAAAGGCCTCTGCCTTTTCCTGGGACACTTCTTCCTCACAGAGAGGCCCTACGAAGTGGCTCTGATCCATCTTTCCTGTTGTAGGAATGGTGAAGGAGCCCATTTGCCTGGAGACGAGTGAAAAGGGAACCTGCTTTAGAAAGCATGACTTCTCCCTGGTTTTCCACGGTAGCTCTCGACACCCCCCCCAAGTCCTGAGTGAGCCCATCCTCCTAATCACTAGAAAAGGCTGAACCCCCAACAGGGGGAACCTCCGGCCGCCGAGCTCCTGGCGGTGAACGTTTACAAGGCCTCAGGACTGGGTGGAGGAACGTGGCGCCCCTTGTCCTGAGGTGCTTTTCCTTTTCCTCTGCAGAAGAAGCTCCCCCTCACCGCTTTTGCTCAGAACATGCAAGAAGGCGCTCAGCAGCTGAGTGACGAAACCTTACTGGGGTAAGGGTTGTCTGTGATCTCTCTCACGGGGCGGCTCCCTGTCTTTGGCCATTTGGAACTCCGGAAGTGGCCTAGCAAAAACCGGGCGGTGTTCCCTCCAGTTCTGAAGCTGGCTTTTCCCTCTTGGCCTGTATCTTCCAAACAGCAGTGAAGCCTCGATGTTGAGGTTAATTCAGCTGCCTCGGCACCTTTACCTTCTGGAACCATTTTAAAAATTACAGCTGGGTGCCTCTGGCAGAGATATGAAACTTCACAGCTGGCCAAGTGCAAATTGTGGAAACAACCATTCTTAACTCTTCAGTAAAGCTACTCCAGGGGGTTCCCCCTATTATTATTATTTTATTTTATTTTTTGGCCATCAGTACTTTAGAGAATGTTGCTGCCTAGGAGGAAGTAGCATTTGTGATGAAAAACATCCCAGATTGTAGGGAACACTCTGACAAAGAGATGCCCAGAGGAACAGAAGATGCAGGCTGTTGTTTCCTGATATAAAAATATAGCAAGCCTTTTTTTGTGTGTGGACATGGTGTGGTTTTGTGCACCCTGCTCGTAATGCTTGATTGAACGTCACCCTCTGTGGAGAGCATGCGCGTGCGTGTGAAAACGGCACAAGCAGTATAGAAACAACACATGCCTCCCTGAAGCACAGTGTTAGCCGTTCCAAATTGCCTTGCCAGGTGTTGCGGTCCACGGGAAGTTTATAGTTGCTCCTGATAAAGAACGGTGTGTCTGAAAAGGAGGGCTCACTGTCCTCCTCACAGGCTCTCTGTACAAAGCAGGACCCCAGAGAATTGTGGGGTCCCTTCAGGCAACCAGGAGCCTTCCCTCTTCAGACAGATCGCTCTGCCCACGGAACAAGCCGAGAGGCCAGACAGGCCCCTCTCTGCGCCCAAGAGCCACCCGCACTGTTCCTGGAGAGGACTGGGGCTAAAGTCTCTGACGTCCGTAGTGCTGGACGTCCCTTTGGACCAGGCCAGGCTGACGGAGGAGATGGAACAGAAGAGAGGGGTGGGGTAGATACTGTATGTTGGGGTGAGGACCGGTGGGGGGGGCAGGTGTTGTGATTTGAAATCTGCTGAATGATATCATTTTGGACCCGGGCCCCATCCTTCCTCCTAGGCTTACCTTAGAGAGGGTGGTTGTGAGGACCAAACCCTAGTGGAGAGAAGAGTCAGAATTATGTCCCAAGTTTTTGAACTGTTTAGAGGAAAGATTGGCTGTGAAGGTGGGAGTCGGGGAAATGAGCTTCTTCTCTCTGCCTCCTCTTCAAGGTCAACCGAAGGGCCCCGCTCCTCTGGCTTTGCAGCCTTGGCTTGAAGGCGCCTCTGTCTCTCTCTCTGTTTTTGGAGGCTCACAAACACCAGAGAGAGAAAGAGAGAGAGAGAGCGCAAAAGCAAAGGTGTTCTTTTCCAGAGCACAGAGTGCTGTCCTCTGAAGGTGCCCATGGCCACAGAGTCTGGCGAAACATTAGGAAGAACAACCTTCAGAACAAAGAGCCAAAGAGCCCGAAAAACCCACAACAACTGTGTTCTTTTCCCCTTGAAGGAAAATGCTGGAGACCTGTGGCGAGGCAGAAAATAAGCTTGCCATGGAACTCTCTCACCATGAGGTGCAGGTCGAGAAGGAGATTTTGGACCCCCTGAACCTGCTGACGGAGGTAAAGGCCTTCAGCCTCTGCCACCGGTGGGATGCGGCCACCTCCCCTCCCGCAAACCCCGGCCCGCTTGCTTCGTCAGGAGGTGCCCCCCCCCCGCTGAAGCGCAAGGCTGGGTCTTTCAAAGAAAGGCGGCCTCCCCACATGAGGCGTTTTCAAACGTCGGCTGCCTCTTGTCTCTGTTTTCAGACAGAAATCCCCAACATTCAGAAGCAGAGGAAGCAGCTGGCGAAACTGGTGCTGGACTGGGATTCGGCGAGAGCTCGGTAAAGGAGGGGGCCCTTCCCCTCTCCCCACCCCCGCCCCCGTGCCGGATTGCCAGACCGGGAGGGTGGCCGGGAGGGGAGCTTGGTTGCCAGGCAGGAGAGCTAGGGTGGAGGAAGGCCAGTAGTGCGCCCCTCTCTGGCCTGACCGTCCCCGGGGATGGGTGGGGGCGCCTTCTGTGCCAAAGGCATCGAGGTCCAAGGAAAGGGGAGCTCGTCTCTTAAGGTGAAGCAGGAACCCAAAGAGGACACGGGCCGGGTCACCTCCCTGCTGCAGCAGAAGGAGTGAATCACATGGATTCACTTGGTCTCCTTGGAGCGTTTGCTCCCTTGCTTTAGGTGCTGATTTCAGGAGGCTTCGTCTGAGCCTGAGTGGGGGGGGAGGCATACTGGACAGGGGGTCGGGGGGGAGGTTGAACCTCCAGTGTTCTTCTCTGCATAGCAGGAGTCATTCTACCCCCCCCACTCCTCTCTCTTGCAGGTGGAACCAGGCCCATAAAACGTCAGCGACTAACTTCCAGGGTCTTCCGTCTAAAATAGATTCCCTCAAGGAGGAGATGGATGAAGCAGGGAATAAAGTTGAGCAGTGTAAGGTAGGTGGCGTTGGGAACTCCTGAGCCAATTGCCAGCAGATGCCGCTCATGTTGGGCCTCTTAAAGGACTGTCCTTTCCCAGACCTTTCCCGGTCATCAGTCTAGGAGTGAGAAGCCCAGGATAGAATTCAATCGTGGCTGCTCCTGCCTGGGCCCCATGCAGCAGAGGTAGCTTCTTACCTCTGCATGTGGAGTTGCGTCTTTGAGCCTAGGCAGAAGGTGTCTCCAGATCTCCTGCTTCCCTGGCCATTCGGTGTGTGACGAGGCAGTCTGCTCCAGCTTAATTTGCTGGCTTTTGGTGGACTTGGCCTACCCCTGGCCTCTGGACTCTCTTCTTCCTGCTTGAGAACTTCACATCCAATGGGGAGGGTTGTGATCCATAACTGAAACCTGCTCTTTGTTTGGCCCCCAAAGGATCAACTTGCCGCGGACATGTATAACTTCATTTCCAAAGAAGGCGACTACGCCCGATATTTTGTCTCTGTAAGTAATCCCCTCCACTTGCGGTGCTTCTCGGGTCAGACGTACGTGTCACAGGCTTAATCCTTGTGCCTTTGTTGTTGTTGTTGTTGCTGCTGTTGTGCTCCTCCGATGCTAATGTTTGTTTCAACCTGTGGGTTCTGTTCCCAGTTATTAGAAGCCCAAGCAGATTACCATAGAAAAGCCTTAGCAGTCTTAGACAAGGTGCTCCCCGAAATCCAAGCCCATCAAGGTAAAGTAGAGCGGTGCCTCTGCCTCGCGCTTTGCCTGTGCTGCCTCTGCGCTCTCTTCCTCCTGACTGCACTCCTCCTTCTGGCATGCCCTCCTTTTTCAACTGAGCCCATAGGAACTTTCTTGCCAGGCTCCGTCTCCGAAATCGCCTCCTTCCCCTCTGCAGCCACGTTTCTGACACGGCCTTTCCAAGGCTTCCCATTAATACACTAACAACTCACCAGGGACGGCGCCATCTCAAGAGGCGGCTGGGTAGGTTGGGGGCACTCCTGGGCTCGCCACCCAGAGCCCATCGCCTCTCCCTTGTGCACTTGGTCTGCATGGGAACGTGTAGAGGATCTGCCTTAACACGGTGCGACCCAGGATACATGAGCAGAGGTAGATGGAGCACCTTCTAGTACAGAACAGAAGGAACTCCCGGTCATCTACTAATAGCAGCCTCTAAACAGACGCCCTCACCCCACCCGATTAATGATGCTGCTGCTGGGAGTCAGAAGCCTTAGGCTTGTGATGAATGGTCAAACGGTCGAATTCGGAGGGACCCTAAAGGCCATCTAGGCTAGCCCCTGCTGGCAGTGCAGGGATGCATGGAGAAGGCACCCCCTGAGAAGCAGCAGTCTCACCTCTGTTGAAAAACAGCTGGCGGAGGAGAATCCACCAACCTCTCAGCTCGATCATTCCATGATCAAACAGCTTTTCCCGCCAAGACAGGGAACTGTAAAATCCACCGTGGGCAGAAGAGCCCTAGACCCGCCAAACCATTTCCAATTGACGTCATAAGCGATCTTTTAATTGCCCCTGTCTGCTGTCTCTTGAGTAAGTCAACTCTGGAAGGTGGGCGGGAGGAGGGGGAGAAGGGAATGTGGTCAGTGTGGCCCCAAATGACCCCCCCCTCCTCAGACTCCCAGCTTGGGCCTGTTCATTTAACCCTGCCTGAAGGCTGCACTTTGCATAGAGATGAGGTTGGGGAGGGGCTTCCCTCTGTTCTTCATCTGGTGGGCTCAGAGGGAAAGGTCTTGCCAAGCATCCAGTTAGTGGGTCCAGGTGTCTCGTGCGCCCAGCCTCTCCCAGGCATTTCTGGACCTTTCATTTCTAGTCCTTTCCTGCATCACTAACCGTCTCCTAATGCATCTGCGCCTCGGTCTTTTCAATAAGAACAGCAGCTAAAGAGTTCAAAAGCAGCTTAGCTCACTCGACCATTCGGTAAGAGAATGGAGGTGGCTTCTGAAAGACAAATTGCAAGGGCTTTTTGGAATTTTTGCTCCACACTGTGTGTTTGACCAAAGAAAACTGAGATTGCTTTTGAGCAACAGCAGCCTCTCAAACAGGATGAGGCATCAGAGAGGTGGTTGGCCAGCCTTTAATCTCTCAAAACAGAAGCTTCGCAGCCCATAAGCCGGGTGAGCTCAAGTTTCACCTCCCCCTTGGGGCCAGTTCACGCTCCCCTTCAGAAGGGCAGTGATTCCTTCCTGACTCAGCCTGGTGTAGCCCCTCGGGGGGGGGGGCTGGAGTCTCGCTACCTGCTGTCCTGCAGGACGGGCAGGGTGCGTCGATTGGAAGCAAAGGTGTGTGGATCATTTCGGGGCTAGTGCAGCCTCTGCCCACGCCAGAGCTAGCCTTCACGAGTGTCAGCTGCTCAGGAGGCCTCAACAGTTGTGAGCTGCAGGCACGGGAAACGCCAACCAGATGTGAAAACTCAATCCATATGGAAAGGAACCGAAAATACGTTTTGAAATATAGGGGGAGCGTTCCTCCGCTTGCCGAGAGGGTCATGTGAATTTGGTCCTCACGGGTGGGGAGCCTCTATTTCATGAATGAGAAGCTCTGGCTGGGTCTGCCTGGCTTTCCGGAAGGTCCGCGTTTGGTTTGTTGCTGGCAAGAACTGGGCTCTCGGCTGTTTTTGATTCCTTCCAGAGGTGTTTGGTTCTGGCTTCTCCCACAGGGCAAACTCATCTGACAGGGCTTTGCTAACCAGCCAGTTCTGACCTTCCTGGTGATCCTCCTTTGGATCTCTCCCCCCTCCCTCCCTCCCAGAGCGTTTCTCCCTTTTGCTCAGCTGACCCTTAATGCTGCTCCTCTAACTAGACAAATGGACGGAGAAGCCGGCCTTTGGGACGCCCTTGGAGGAACACCTCAAGCGCAGCGGCCGAGAAATCGCCCTCCCGATCGAGGCGTGTGTGATGATGCTCTTGGAAACGGGCATGAAGGAAGAGGTAGGCACGGGTCAACGTCCCCTCTCTGGAGTATGGAGAAATCTCTGCCCGGTTGGGTGGATCGAGGAAGTGGTGGGGGTGGGGCTGCCTCGGCTCCGTTTACTTTCTCCAGGGGCTCTTTGGAGACCCCCCTGCCAGGTGGGTGCCACCGAGACCCAGAAGTTTGCTAGAATCTGGAGAGAGAGAGAGAGATTCTCTGCCTCCGATCAAGAGGGTCTCTCCTGACGCTGAGCTAAGGAGGTGTGTTTACTGCCGTCACACAGGGCTTGTTCCGAATCGCTGCCGGCGCCTCTAAGCTAAAGAAGCTGAAAGCTGCCTTGGACTGCTCTGCCTCGCACCTGGATGAGTTCTACTCCGACCCCCATGCCGTGGCAGGTCGGTTGATCCCGAGAGGGCTGGGGCCGCCTTCTCCTGCTGGCCCTCCCCAAGGAGAAAGGGCAGCTGAGATAGGCTGTGCTTCGTTAGGAAGCTGGGTATTTTTGAACTGAGGCTGCTCCGTTTGGACTCTCTTGTCACCGCTCTGCTTGAGTGGGAGTCTCTCTTTCATCCCTGGCTGGGCCAGGTCTTGGGGGACCCAAACAGACCCGCCAGGATGAATGCAGGGTTTGTGTCAACCAGTTAGAATCATTCCTATTCCAGCTTCATAAGCTCTGGTTTCTGGCTCTTGACCTCATGCCCGGGCCCTCAAAGAAGTGTTTCTAGCGCTCAGTATGGTTCCTCCTCCAGCAAGGTTCTGCTGTTGTCTCCCTGAGCCAGAAGGCGCGGGGCATGTTTGGTGGAGAGTGACCGACTCAGGCTGGATCCCAGCGATGGGCCAAACGCTTGCCACAAATGCAAGCCCCAGTCCCATCACATTAAGGCAAATGGCGTTTAAGTCTTGGCAGCCAATGGCCACTCCTGTGCAAGGTGCTGGTTGCATTGCTGGACACGCGCCCAATATGATCGGCGGCAGGCTTCTGGATAGTCCTTTATGCATTTTCTTTGTGTTTGGAAAAGGAATAGACTCAGACAGTTTTCTCTGGAAGCCGGTTGCTAGCAGAACTTTGTGCCTGGGCAGAATAAGGCTGCTTGGAGCGCCACCTAGTGTGGATCACCTTCCTTTAATACAGTGGTTCCCCACCTTGGGTCACTCAATTGTTTTTGGACTACAGTTCCCAGAAACCCCATCCAGCACAGCTAGTGGTGAAGGCTTCTGGGAACTGCAGTCCAGTAACACCTGGGTGACCCAAGGTGGGGAACCACACCTTTAACAGGTGAATCCTTGTTCTCTGTTTTAAACCACATCCGTCTCCCTTTTATTTATGTATTTATTCTCTTTCTATACTGCCTCAAGCAGTACACTGGGTGGTACACAAGATTAAAACAGTACCCCGCAATAACCAAAAAAGACATTCAAAACAATACAGCGACACCACAGATAATAATAAGCATAACAATGAATAACTATGTAAAATTCTAAATTAAAAAAAAAAGTCACTATTGACAGTGTCCCAGAGATTCAGTTATTAAAGGCAGCCTCCTTCTGAGAGCTCATTGTAGGAGGGAGATCTTATTTTTGATTTTTAAATGTCCTTACAACTTCAAACAAAAGTCGCTAAGCACTGAAACAAAAACAACAGGAAGTGAAGCTGTTCTAGCTACAAATGCTGTTTATTAATTAGAATAACATTAGAAGGCTTAAAAAGATAAAGATCAAAAAATTATAAAAGTGGAAGCTTGTAGAGAGGGAATTCATTTCCTTCAGTTCTTCTGGGCATCCTGCTAGCACCACGGGAGACCTCAGAAGCAATGCCTTCTTGGTGCTGTGAGCAGCATCTGAAACAAAACAAAACAAAAAAAAAACCACCCACAACCCAAGGCTTGACTTGGTGTGAAAACAGCCTGGGTTCTCCTCCCCGGAGGCTGCCGAAAGAGGCTCGGGGGGGGGGCGTGTCACGAGCAGCCTGAGCCCTGTCAGAGAGGAAGGGGAGGCCGGTGGGCACCGCTTGGCCATTTCAAGCCTCCCTGTTGTCGCTTCAGGTGCGCTGAAGTCTTACCTGCGGGAGCTGCCAGAACCGCTCATGACCTACGCCTTGTATGAGGAATGGACGCAAGTCGCCAAGTAGGGACCGCCTGCCATTTGTTTTTTCTGGGATTACTGAGGGGTGTGAGATTCCTCGGGAGGGGCCTGCTTCTCTCTTGACTTTCCTGTCAAGCTCCTCTGGATGTTAGATTTTTTTTTCTTTTAAAGTTTCCCCCTCTCCTCTCCTCCTGGGCTCCTCTGAGCAATGGCTGGGCTTGTTTTCCAGTCTTCCTCCTCGTTCTGTATCGTTTTTTACTTTGTGCCTTCAGGCCAAGCTTCCCTCTGGGTTGCCATTGCTTTCTACCCGGCCCTAAGGGCTAAGTGTATACTTCAATGCTGAAACATTTCCTGTGCTGCCTGCGAGTAAAACGTGCAGCATTTGGTGGGCATAATGTCGGGAACGGGGAGCTGCAAAATAGCCCTCCTTTCCCAAAGGAAAGCCATTCAGAAGTTGGCTGCTTCCTTGTCTCCCAGAGGGGAACCAGCCGCCCCCTCCCCCCCGGCATGAAACTGCACGCCCTGGCATAACTTTGGCTCATGAGACCTCGTCCGCTTCTCTCCTGCAGCATCCAGGATCAGGATAAGAAATTGCAGGACCTGTGGAGAATTTGCCAGAAGCTGCCAAAGCCTCACCTAGCCAACTTCAGGTACCGGTTTCCTTCCTGGGAGCCTTCAGGAGAAGAGAAAGGTTGAGAGGGATTGGGAGCAGCCTTTTGGGAATCCCCGGGTCCTGTTCCGTTCCTTAAGGGGCTCCTTCCGGTTCTTTGTGCAGGTACCTGATCAAATTCCTTGCGAAACTCGCCCAGTACAGCGACCTTAACAAGATGACCCCCAGTAACATCGCCATCGTGTTGGGCCCAAACCTGTTGTGGGCCAAGAATGAAGGGTAAGCGCTGGAAGGCTTTAAATATATACATAGCTTTAGGTTTTAATCCCTAAATTATTCTGTGTCCCTTAGGGGCAGCTCACCCACCCAGCCTTGACCTCTTGAGATTATTTTCAGTCTGGTTTCCATGGGACACGAGAGGTGGCACCCTTTGGTCGGTTGGCCCATTTGAGCCAGGGGTAGAGCCGGTTCTTGAGTTTCGGGAGGCAGGGCCGATTACAGAGAGAAGCAGCCTTCACCCCCAGGGCTAACCCTGGCTGATAAGATCCGTGGCAGTTCTGCTTCCCCAGTTGATTTGATTGGGGGAAGAGGGGGGGTGCATGTGTGCGGGGGAGCTTGCTTGTGAGAGTCGCAGACAAGAGAGATGCACCCTCAGTTATTGTTCAGGATGGTGATTCCATAAGAGCAGCCTCTGGCAAAGGTCTTTGCTGGCTGAGGAGAACCGCCCGGAGAGCCTCCTCACGGTTTCTCTCCTGCCCTCCAGCTCCCTTGCAGAGATGGCAGCGGCTACTTCAGTGCACGTGGTGGCGGTTGTGGAGCCCATCATCCAGCACGCTTCCTGGTTCTTTCCAGAAGGTAAATGCCGTTTTCCCCTTTCACGTGTCCTTGCCATCTGTTCTCCTGCTGGGACCCCCCTCCCCCATGGGGATACAAGAGGCCTGCCTTCTCCTCCACGAATTGGATAATTTGGGCAGTCTGGGAAAAGCCTGTAGAGAACAAGTGAGTCTTGAAAAGGGTTGCGAATGGGGCATGGAGGTATTCAGCAAGTATCCGTAGCGTGCCTGTCGGTTTAGGATAGTTACATCCTTTTATATCTGCTGAAAGTGAAATTAATGTGTTGGAAGGAGAGAGAGGGCAAGGGAAAGGCACGGGTTGGAAGGAGACTGGCTAACGTCGCTTCTCTGCACTGCAGAGATGGACTTCAACGTGTCGGGAGCATTTGTGGGGCAGCCTGCGGTGAACTCCAACCACCTCTCGGGGAACGACTACGACTCGGGGACGCTGGAGCGGAAGCGGCCCGTGAGCATGGCGGTGATGGATGGGGAGATGCTGAGGAAGGAAAGGTACGGCGAGCCCCCTGGGCCCCCCGCCAGGTGAAGGCTGCTGTCCTCGCAGCGTGGTCGTGGTTCCGCAGCCCTCGCCTTCCGTCGGCAGGAGCCTTGAGATGCTCCAGTCCAGCTCGCTTTCCTTCACAGTAGAGAGCCGCAGATCTTCTTGGCGCCTTGCCCTCTGGCGCTTGGTCGTGCCAGCAGAGAAACCCCTGGAAGAGGGATATGTTGGGGCACCTGGGATCCTGGCCAACAGGCCTTGAGTCACTCGGGCTTAGCGGTTCCTTTCCCCCTTGTTCCTGCCACCGGAAGAAGATCCAGAGACATTGTGCCCCCCTGCTGAGGGCACTCTGTACATGGAGGGGGAGGGGGGCTGTCGAAGGAGGAGCATCCGGGAGGGTGGCGTCTTTTGTCCTGTCTTTCAAGCCTGCTTGACAGGTCTAAAGGAAGAGCCAGCCTTCCCAAGCAAGACTTCTGATTGGGCGGAGAAGCCTCGGTTGGTCAGGAGCCCCTTCCGTCTCTCCTCCTCTCCTTGTAATCCGCGGTGGTAGCTTGTCTTGTCACCTGAGGCTCCTTGCTTGCGTCTCCTTGTTCCCAATGGATCTGGAAGGTCCTTCCTCCTAGAAAGGGTTTGACTCATGGCTAGCCATGTCCTGCCTTTCTGGACGCCTCCTTCACGGGGATCAACCCACCTCCCTTCCGGGCAGGCCTTCCATCCTTCTCTTGGAGTGGAAGCGCGTCTGTTTCCAATGGGCAGGCTCCTTCGTTGCCCAGGGCTCTCTGGTGGCGAGACTAGAAGCTGCTTCAGCGACCTACAGGGTGCGTGTGAACGGAGGGGATGGCCGTCCATCCCCGGTTAAGTGAAGGGGAGACCCTTCCCATCCCTTCATGCTTTTGTCCGTGCAAGTTCATCCGGGCTGTGTCTGCTTCCCAACTCCATGGGTTTTTGGGACAAAAAGCATCAAAATGCTAAGCCAAGAAAAGTGGGTTTTTCCGAACTTCAGTTCTGTCTGTTGAACAAAAGCACCTCTTTGGGCTCGGTTTGGTTCGCTCTGCTTTCTGTAGACATTGGGCGTGAGGGGGAGCAGAGAAGAGCCCCCCTACACGGTCCTTTCCCTTGGGGAGCTTGTTCTGTCACTCCCTTGGGGAGCTTGTTCTGTCACAGAGGACTTGAGGACTTTTCTCCTGAAGTTGTGAATTCCTGGGCTCACAAGAGGCTGGGGAGCAGACACAGCCCTGCCGGTAACACATTGTACTAATGGGAACCCCTTGGCTTAATCAGACATGGTGGCAGCAGCTTGAATGTGCCAAACGCTGGGGGTCAAACCCGGAGCCATAATCCCTCTGGACGGCTCAGAAAGGCAGAGAAAACACAGACCTGTAAAAGCCCATCGGGAGAGAATGTGTAAGCACAGCGGAGGGAGCCGCTTTGCTGGTCGTCCCCCCAACTGCTGACCCGCCTTGTGGGATTGAGCCAAGGGGCCGCTGGGTGCTTGTGTCACACTAACCCGGGGTCTCACGGACAGAGTCTGGAGGGTTCCCGGTTGCTTCTCCGCCTGGGAGCCGCAGGGACCCGGCTCTCGTCCAACCCCTGTAGATCTGTTGTCCCGGTTTGCCTTTCTGTGTAGCCAGCCTGCATGTTGTGTTTCCTCTCTTTCTCCTCTGTAGCTTTGGTCTCAAGGTTCTGGACTTCCAGGCGAACCCCCGGAGAGGCGGCACTCTCAGTAGAAAGCACGCGGCCCCAGCTTTCCAGCCACCCCTTCCTCCCATGGAGGCTGGCCTGGTGGCTCCAGCCACGACGGAGCAGCCCCCGCAGGGCTCGGGGGCTGAACCCGGCCTCTTAGGTGCCACCTCTGCCCCCCTTCCTGACCCAACAGAGCAGTCCCCAAACCAAGGCACTGCTGAGGAGAGCAGGTAAGACGGGGGGCGTCCAGGCAGGAGAGCCTTAGCAGAGGAGGCGGAGGCAGCCTTGCATAGGGGGGGGGTCAGTGAGGCCACGGTCGTGCCAGAGTCCATGCAGAGCTTTCCCCTGTGCAGAGGGGGGGCCGTTCTTCAGCTCCCTCAACAAGAGTTACAGTGGCTCAGCAGGATCAGACTCCTGGCCCAGAGCAGATGGGGCCACCCTTCCTCCCCCAGCAGGGTCCTTGCCCAGGAGCTGTTCCCTGCCTCTCCCTTTGCTCAAGAGGCCAGGGGTTGGTTCCTTGCCACCCCCCTCCCTCGCAGCCAGAACCCCACATATGGCTTGTCTTGTTTACGCCTGTTGTGTGCTGACCTCCTTGCCCCACTGAATCCCCTCCACTCAGAGGGCAGATCCAGGGAGGCTGGATAGGGGACGGGTTCTCCTTCACAAGGGAACGGTTTGTTCTTCTCTTTTGTCCTGTGATCGTGCGCCCCTGTATGTCTGGATAATACATGTGAAGTGTCTACCCTCAAATAACACCCGCACCAGTACTTACAGCAGTGTCTGTGTGCTCAGCCGGCCCTGAATGTGTGTCTTGTGTCGGAAGGCATGCCGGTGCCCTTGCGGGGCGAAGGTGGAACCAGCAACTCGGATGCTGATGGAGCGCCTTCGCCTAGGAGGAGGAAGCTCCCCCAAACGGCATCCTCGGGCACCCTCTCCTCTGCACCCGAGGGCTGTCCTTGTGAATTGTGGGCAGCAGATGCCCCCCCCATGTCTGTCGCTTCTGCAGACCTCCATCGGGCAGGGCGAAGGGCCCTCGGCGGGCCAGGCTGGCACTAGGCGGGCCTCGGGGTGTTCCTTGGGGTGTGTCCGGCCATCTGTGACCCCTCCTCCTTTTCTCTCTTCCCAGTGCCTCCAAGCAGAAGGACCCCACGCCCTCAACGACGCCTCCCCCAATAAGAAACGGGGCCCACGGAAGCGCCGCCCCAGCCCCCCCACAGCCTGCCAGCGGTA